ATGCAAAATATAATGATCAATTTTTCCAGGAATGCAGTTTTCTCAACTCTGATTATCTGTTATCTGTTATCTTCTTCTATACCTTTAGAGGCCAATACTCCAAAGTTACAACTCCATTGCAATCCTACTTACCATATGACAAAGGTTTATTTTATTAAATAAAATTATTATTATTTTCCTTCCTTTCTTTATGTATTTTTTCATTCATTCATTCTTTATTGTCCAAGCGTGATTGGATACATTTTCCATCTATGCTATATGATAGAAAATTACTGATTTATATCACATCCTCTTAACAAATATCCCAAATACACAAATATATTGTCTGTCAGTTAGGCTGACCCAATATCTGTTCACTGTAGGAAAGTTGTTAAGTGTTAACCCACCCTCCCAAAAATAAAAAATAAAACTTCAAAGGCCTCTATTAATAGTCCATTACTATATTTCACTTGCAGAAAAGGCTTTTAATCTCATAAAACCAACTATGTTTGAACCCCTTTCTGATCTCTGATAAAGAGGGAAGGGGTGTGCTTGCTTGAACTCATTGGCCCTGCCACTACCATTAAACCTGGATAGCAAAATATCTGTGAACGAACCACAAAGGATACGTTTTATTATACAAGATGACAGGATCAGCTGTACGTCACTCTGTAAGTAACTTGGCTCTAGGCCATGTAATGCTTTATAGGCAGTGTATTGGCCTCAACAGGCACTTTTTTTAACGCTCCATGCTGACCCATCCCAGATTAGTTGTGTTGTGGCTTGCCAGCAGCTAGCGGAGCTGGGGGCAGACTCGGACAGTGAGGAGGTTGGGGAGGAACATGGGACAGTCCTGGAGTCTGGGCAAGGCTCTGATGAGGGCTCTGCATCAGAGATGGGGTCAGGGCCATCCGACAGTTATCAGCTGCCTTTGGAATCAGATATCAGTGGGGTAGAAGAACAGCTGGAGCCTGTTCCCAGTGTGCGCATGCACAGAGCTGCCAGGAGAAGGGAACAGTTAAAGAACAAGGGTCGACTCGGGAGTAAAGACTCAGGTGGATGGTGAATTACTCCACCTAAAGAGGAGCGAAAGGGGAGTGGGTTTTGCAGGAGACAATTAATTCAATTCATTAGGGTGATCCCCCATTGTTTCTTGTCTTGCCTTCAGGTGCTTTGGAAAATAGATTGACCCCTTCTTCTTTGTGGCAGCCCTTCAAACACTGCTGTCATGTCTCCCCAAGTCCTTCTTTTCACTAAACTAGACATACCCAATTCCTGCAACCGTTCTTCATATGTTTTAGTCTCCCGGCCCCTGATCATAATAAAATGTTACAGCAATCCTGTTTTATCCAACATGTACTTAGAGAATCAGCAAGATTCCTCTCTCTCTCTCTCTCTCTCTCTCTCTCTCTCTCTCTCTGTGTGTGTGTGTGTGTGTGTGTACTGTAACAATAGAGTTCCCTGAAACTTTCTGAGCTGGTTTGAATTGTGTGGTGGGAAATTATTGCAATAGACATTAACAGAAGGCAATGGAACACCAGCACTCCTTTTTCTAAAAAGATTTTTAAAGGCTTTTCGGAATTTATTTTACCTGCATTGACAGAAGTGGGGGATTGAAGGGAAGGCGAAAGGAAATAAAGAGGGAGGAGGCGATGGGTTGGATTTGTAAGCCTAATCTTAAATGTCATGCAATAAAAAGTGCTCATCGGCATGATGTCAAGGAGTGATTTATCTTTCAGCTCACAGCTGTCTCGGTTGCTGCCTTCAATCTGATGCTAAAACCATAAATGACTTCCATGGCTTTGATGTGGAAGGTTCAAAATTCAGCAGGCTTTGATGTTCGTTTGAAGTCGTTCACATGAAAGGGACAGAGTATTGTGTCCTTTTTTCATTCAAGGGTTCGGACAGAGCATGTGGAAGGAAGCAGAGAAGTCTCTGAGACTATGTTCCACAAGTGCAAAACCGTCAAGGGTATTTCGGAATCCCGGGGTTTGTCACCCCAAAAAATACGATAATAAAAGCAGCTGAATCTGTTTTGCTTTTCAAAATTGTTTTCTCAAGTGACAGCACCGTAAATATCCACAGAAGAGGGGTGGGAAAAGAAATGCATTTGGAGCCACTGGGAAGTGGATGGATGGGTTTGTTACTATTTAAAACCCTTTACTAATTATTCTGCTGTATAATTCCACGGCATTCTCCTTGCAGTTAAGGGTTAAAAATAAAATCTTTCTTTACAACTTGACAGTTCTCAAGGATTTTCCAACTATTTAGCTTCAGGGAATTGTTTCCAACTCACGTTGACTTGTCTGCTGAGAAATCCCCAAGGAGATGCAGTGGAAGTTTTGTGCAGTTGTAGACTTTTTTGGGGGATGTTCAGGGGCCTCGCTTAGTGGTGTGTGACCTACTGACCTGAGGTGGAACTTTTTTTTAAAATGAAATATTTTCCATGTTATTCTTTTAAAGGATGTTTCCCCCTGCTTTCAAATTAACTTGTAATATAATAAGTGAAGGAAAATTAGGAAACAGGAACAGATAAAAAACAGTGCTCAAATCTAAAATGAAAGCTGAAGCTAGGAAGCCCATCTGGACTCACAATAGAGCTAAGTACTATATGTTTTGGAGGATCTTGAAACAGTATAAATATTGTCAGATGCTTCTACATGTTCACTGTTTGTTTTAGCTTTCCTTATAGAATCTATGGGACATTTGCCAAATAAATAAGCAGGGTCAAGTTCTTGGTTGATTGTATGGCCAGAGAACAATGTAAATACCACACATTCTTGCTATATGGACAGTCCGTTGTGATGCTTGTAATCAATCAAAAGAAAAAATAAACAACTAAGACATGTCTAGTCTACTCCAAGGATTTATTAGGCAAAGCAATGTTTTGATTCGGTGTGTTTTTCTTGTTAATGTTGTTAAGTGTTGGTGTTAAGTTAACTTATTTGTAGCGCAAAAGGAAACTTGAAACGGTGGACAATTTAGCTTTCCTGTATAGTTTGGAAAAATGAAGGAAAAGTCAATGTTTAGTGATGCGCTTTGTTCTGTATTATATGAATATAACCCATCAAATAACAACTTCTTATTCAGAAATTATATATTTTTTTATCAAGAACAGAGCAGAAATGGTACTAGAAGCTGTTTTCAATCTGGTCTAAAGGGAAGACACTATTTTTACGAGCAGGGGCTATTTTTGTGTGTGTGTATATGTGTTTTTTAAACACTGCTTTTATTATCAGAAATCAGTTCCTGTCTGGGAGCAAAACAGAGAATGAACCCCATAGCCACAATGCATTCAAGGCCCTTTTTATCACTTCCATTTTGATCTTCTGGTATCAAAGTTAGGTTATTCATAACAGCATGCCACTGTTTAGGTTTCAAATGAATCGGTTCATCCAACAACGATCCTATAGAAGTAAATAGCAATATTACAAAGCAATATTTTTCCAGTTCGTAATTCTAAACTCTCATAATGAGATTTTCTTACTGTTTATGCCCAAAGTATATTCATGTATCTCTGCAACTACTATGAGTCTGTTGTCCTGTTCAAACATTTTAGTCATACTGCTGATTATTGTGTAGTTGAATGAAAAAAAGGAGTAGGGTGACATGATAGCAGTGTTCCAATATCTGAGGGGCTGCCACAAAGAAGAGGGAGTCAAGCTATTCTTCAAAGCACCTGAAGGCAGGACAAGAAGCAACGGATGGAAAGTAATCTGCCTCCAGAAGTCCCCAATGCTCTGCTGCTCCATTTCACTTAAGTTAAAATTACCAAACCCTGAGAGTGAGAAGAGGAGAGGAAAGGAGAAGAGAGGAGAAAAGAAGAGAAATAAAGAGGAAGGGAGGGGAGGAGAAGATAGGAGAGAAGGAGAGAGGAGAGGAGGAGAGAAGACAGGAGAAATAAAGAGAAGAGAAATAAAGAGGAGGGGAGGGGAGAGGATAGGAGAGGAGGGGAGAGGAGAGGAGAAGAGAAATAAAGAGAAGAGGAGGGGAGGAGAAGAGAGGAGAGAAAAGAAGAGAAGAGAAGATTTGTCTGTTGCTTGACTTTTATGACTGCAGACCTAAGCGGACCACAGGTGGTATTCAGCAGGTTCTGACCAGTTCTGGAGAACCGGTAGCGGAAATTTTGAGTAGTTCGGAGAACCAGCAAATACCACCTCTGACTGGAGATTTTACAGTATCCTTCCCCTGCCACGCCCACCAAGCCATACGCAAAGAACCAGTAGCAAAAAAATTTGAATCCCACCACTGAAGCAGATCTCTGGATTTCTGCCCCCACAAAATGTGACTTTCTTCTTCTTCAAATATGTGTTTGGAAGGAAGGATAGAGAAAGTGGTAATCACTTAGATAATTGTATCAGTGAATGCATAAAGGTATAAAATTTCACCTTTGCGTGTGACTTGTGTCTACAAATTGCTTTTACTGGTTGAGCCAAGGCAGTGAAAATTGCCTTTTCTCTCTTTCTCTCTCTGGATCCAGAGTTTTATACATTTCTGCCACAGGCTTTCAAAAATCAGATGCCCACTAGGATGACAGTGAGGGGTGATGTAGTCCGCCAGCATTTATGGACTGCTTCAGTTTGTCAAGGCTGGCTTATACACACATAAGCTGTATTGTTATTGTTGTTATTGTTGTTATTGTTATTGTTGTTATTGTTGTTGTTATTGTTGTTATTGTTGTTATTATTTGATCTTTGGTGAGATTCACAGCCTTTGGTGCTGGTTGGTAGCTCAAAAGCTTAAGTCCTAACCAAGGACCTAGGAACTGTTCAGGTAGCGTCAGAGGATATAAGCTGTTCCAAGTTTTTTGTAGAATCAGGGTATTCAAGTCTGATAAATTCAGGATTTCCAAATAGCGAGGTAGCCCTCCAAGGGCTCCAATCGCAATTGGGATAACACACGATTTCTTTTTCCAAAGTCGCTCAACTTCAATTTGTAAGTCCTGATACTTTGTGATTTTTTTTCTTGCTGTGTGTCTACAATTCTTGCATCACCAGGTATTGCAATGTCAATGAACCAACGCTTTTTCTTTTCAACTATTGTTATGTCAGGTGTGTTGTGGGCTAAGTGCCCTGTCAGTCTGAATTCTGAAGTCCCACAAGATCTTGACTTTTCATTCTCCAGATCCTTCTCAACCTGATGTTCCCAGTAGTTGTTACTATACTCAAATCCAAACTTTTGGCACAGTTTCCAGTGAATGATTTTAGCAACTCGGTTATGGCGTTCTGAGTAGTCAGTTTGTGAAATTTTGCTACATCCACTGATTAAATGGTCAACTAATTCATCTTTCTCATTACAGAGGCAGCATTTGCTGTTGATGGTGACATGCTGAATCTTTGCCTTCATGCAATTTGTGGCTAAGGCTTGTTCTTGAGCAGCCAATATAGAGCCTTCAATTTATTTTTTCAGTATTCCTGATTTTAGCCAATTCCAAGTAAGCTTTTGGTCAGCTTTGCCTTCAATACTTTTCAGGTATTGGCCATGCATAGCTTTGCTTTTCCAATTTCCAATTTCCAATTTGCTTTTAGGATGCAAGGCAGGATTCATAGTCATAAGCTTCCTTGTTTTTCTGTCCAAATTGTCCAGCTCCATCTGGGTCCAGTCAATTATTCCTGCAGAGTATCGAATCACAGGTATAGGCCAGGTATTTATTGCTTTTATGATATTTCCACCACTCAATTTGGACTTTAAAATCTTGCGAATTCTTCGAACGTACTTGGCTGAAGTTGATTCCTTGACTTTATTATGCATTAAATCAGAGGCTTCTAAAATCCCTAAGTGCCTGTGGCCTGCTTCTGGTTTCATTGCCTTTATTATTTCGTCATTGTCAAGTTCTATTCCATCATCTTCTATGACCTTGCCTGCTTTGACTGCCATTGTTGCACTTTTGTCAATTCCAAAGTGCATGCCGATGTCCTGGCTAAATTCTTTTGTGCTTTCAATTAGTGAATTATATTATTATTGTTGTTGTTGTTGTTATCTTCACCCAAGGTGCCTATTACTATTGGTACTACCCTTGCTTGCCTTTGCCATAGTCGTTCTATTTCTATTTATAGGTCTGTGTATTTTGTTATTTAATCCAGTTCTATTATTATTATTGTTGTTGTTATTATTATTATTTTCCTAACTTAAAACTTGAAATACAACCTTTCCTCATAACAGAAGATCATTTATACGGCCTGTTTTTCCTTCACAGTGTTCCCAGCTCCGTTTTATGTGTATTTGGCATGGAGAGGCGAGAAATTAAATTAAAGTAAGGCACAAAAGCCAGCCAATTCAAGAGGGCATCTTCCTTTCCCTCCCACCGTGCCACCCTTCCTCTCTAACAAACACATTGGCCTCCCACGTGTTTCTTTTTTTTTAAAGTTCATTCTGGATTTGTATTTATGTTTTGGGATTAGGAGTCATATGTTGACACACATGGAGTAGTGATTCAAAATTAATGCTAACATAATACAGCAGAGAAAGAAAGACCACCCAGTTAATGTCAGGATTCCTGGGTGGCCTTACTTGACACTGTTTCTTTCTCTGGTAATCCCCCCATTCTTAAAAATTGCTACCAAGGAACTTCTCAAGAGATTCTGGTCAAGATGACCCAGGAGAAAAAGCTGAGGTTTCCATTTGAAAGCCACCCCAGGGTGTGTCTAATAAGGAAGGAACGTAGCAAACATCCATGAACCCCTGTTCACCTCTCATCTGTCAAAGTGAAGCTGACTGAGTTTGAAAAATGGTACGAATAATCATTTCAGAAGCAATGCTCTCTTCTGTTTTGTTCTTCTAAACTAGAATCTTTCTTTGAAACCTCTAAAAAGTTAAAGCCGTACAATGTTCTAGGGGAGAATTATTTGACTACAGGTAGTCTCTGACTTGCAACATTCATTTAGTGACTGTTTAAAGTTAAATGGCACTGAAAATAAGTGATGTATTACCATTTTTCAACCATATGACCGTTGCAGCATCTCCGTGGTCATGTGATCAAAATTCGGACACTTGGCAACTGCTTCATATTTATGACAATAGAATAGAATTGAATAGAATAGAATACAGTAGAGTAGAGTTGAGTAGAGTAGGGTAGGGTAGGGTAGGTTGGGTAGAATAGAATGGAATAGGAATAGCAATAGGAATAGGAATAGGAATAGGAATAGGAATAGAATAAAATAGAATAGAATAGAATAGAATAGAATAGAATAGAATAGAATAGAATAGAATAGAATAGAATAGAATAGGGTAGGGTAGTGCAGAATAGAATGGAATTGGAATAGGAATAGAATAGGGTAGGGTAGAGTAGAATACAATGGAATAGGAATAGGAATAGAATAGAGTAAGGTAGGGTAGGGTAGAATACAATGGAACAGAACAGAACAGAATAGAATAGAGTAGGGTAGGGTAGAATACAATGGAATGGAATAGAATAGAATAGAGTAGGGTAGGGTAGGGTAGGTAGGGTAGGGTAGGGTAGAATACAATGGAATAGGAATAGAAATAGAAATAGAAATAGA